CTTTGAAGAGCAAAGAACATCGTGAAGGTCTGTTTGAAGACTCGATCAAACTCAAAATTGACGCTGATGACAACATTTTAAAAGAACACGCAGAAAAGGGCGCAAAAACGCCACTTACGTGTCATCGCAGATTCAAAATGAAATAATCGGCCTATACATCACTACTGACATAAAGAAAGCGTGCGCTTACAGTATCCTGGCAGACGAGAGCAGTGATATATCAAGGAAAGAACAACTTTCCATTGGGGTTAGATTTTTGACGAAGAAAAGATGATGGTCGTGAGAAATTTCTAGGTTTTGTAGAGTTGACTGACACGGATGCAAAATCTGTAGCATTTGCAATTAACAACTTTGTAAAAAGTAGGCCTTGATCCAGAAAAGTGCATCGGACAAGGATACGATGGGTGTTCACTATGGCAGGAAATGATGGTGGCGTCCAGAAAATTCTCCGAAAAAAGCATACGAGAGCGTTATACTTTCATTGCGCTAGTCACAAACTGAACTTAGTTGTGAACGACTTAAACGAAATAGCGGTGATACGAAATACGGTCTCCACAATAAAATAATTAATAAAATTCTTCCGAGAATCGGCCCTTCGTCGAAAATGCATACCGAATATACCAATGCTCTGCGAAACCCGCTGGTCTCAAAAATATAAAAATATCGCCACATTCGAGGAACATTGTGTGCAAATCGTTATGGCGCTCGAAAAACTATCAACAACGCAACGAGCAAAGCTGCTTTTCAAATGCGTTGCGCTACTACAAAATCAGAATTCATTGTTAGTGTTTGTCTCGTAGCAAAATATTCAGCGCTCCCGCAACCGGTGATAAATGCTCTTCAGTCAAAAGGTGTGGACTTACTTCAATATGCAAATCACAAAAAAAATCACAGACATCGTGAGAAAACACCGTGGAAATGCGGTTGTCGAAAGTCAAAGTGTTATAGAAGAGGCTGAAACAACCGCCGAGCTTCTTGGAACAAATTTCGATATGCCGCGAGTCATAAATCATCAGAAACATCGTGCGAATCCACCAGCACAGACTCCTAGCGAGTTTTGAAGATCACTAATTATTCCGTGCATAGACTCATTAATAATGTGTCTGGAACAGCGTTTTTCTGAGATGAACTTGCCCGCATTCTCATTGCTTACGTTGCACCCTTTTGTAATGCTTGATATGAAGTATGAGGATTAAAAAACAAAAATTACAATTTGAATGATTTCCTCGGCGAAGCTGAACTTTGGTACAACCAATGGAAAGGAAAAAATGTGCCAAATGCCGAACTGAAGGAGATAGATCTAGCTGCATTAGTTAAACAAACGCAATTGTTCTACCCATCCATAAACGGGCGCTACGTATCTCATTTGCACAGTCCTGCACAACGTGACCTGTCGAAAGATCCTTCGGCACCTTACGCAGGGTAAAAACTTGGATACGGTCAACAATGACAGACAACTGGCTTGTCGTTCTTTGTATGATGAGAGTGCATAAAAAACAGGATTCTGGAAGCTAAAAATAAATTTGAGAAAATTTTGACAAGATTTAGCCAGAACTCCCGTAGGCTAGTGTTGAAATAAGATTTAGATAGGTTCGAATAGCATTGCAACTAGTTACTTTTAGCGTTTTCAAATGTTCAAATAAAACCATTTTTTTAATAAACAACGTTACCTTGTTTTTGCCCACCTGGAGAAAATCCTGACTACGCCCTTGCTTGTCATTACTTTTTGCCCAGACAACACCGGGTACATCTAGGCCTACTAGTTATATTATATAAATGAATTTTTATACGCAGATATTTTTGATCATTCCCTCTATCTCTGACTTTATACAAGTATTTCGATAAATCAATCGTTATGACTACTGTTGTTTAGTCGGAAATACTTTTTTCAGTGACAGAAATCTATTTTCGGAAGTACTCAGACGATTTTCCGCATTTAAATTTCATTATGTCTATTTATAGCATTCTATACTGTATAATACTCCAAGTCATTGATGTAACGCAAGAAATATGATGTAACCTACGAAATATTAGCTTTGTCACTGTTTTCCGCTGGAAATTACGTCGTTTGTTTACGTACGCGAATTTGTAACCAGAAAGCTAACGACCTTTTCATCACAATGACCTCTTTAGACTTAATTGTATTTAAGTAAATTAAGTAAATGTATTATTTACCTTAAGTATGGGGATTGTCTCAAAAATTTAATATAAAAACAACAAAAACCGTAAATAAATCAAATTTTTGTATACACAACACTACCTAGAATCTTTTTAATAAGTAACTATTTTATAAAGGGTCTCAAGCGCGGAACACATATTTTTAAGACCTAACATATTAAAAAGAACTATTATATAAAGACCTATTTTTTACTGAAATTTGACAGAAAATAAAAGACAGTCTTCAAAATACACAAGAAATGTAATGAAACGAATAACTTATAGTCCCAGTAAGTGCGAAGTTTGAACCCGGAGGGAAAACCGGAATTATAGCGTCTGGGTTCCGAGTATGTATGAGGGTTCGAAAAGAAATCTATACATTTAAAATTTTAATTTTGAATTCTAGCAAATCAGTTATGCAATTTCGAATGCATAAAGGAAGAAAAGAAAATATGATAAAAATCGAGACCGTGGCATCACGGGATCAAGGATCCTAGAAGCACTACACCTCAGAACCCATCTACGATCGTGTCTATGTCAAATAGTCCTACTGATCCGCTCTCACAGGGGGACAAGCTATACTGGTTTAGCCCGGAATAGGTCCTATAGAAAGTTAATTAATCGAACAAATCATTTAAACCAGGCCCAGCGATAGCACTTGATTCTATACGATTTGTTTGATTAATTATTTTCCTCAGTTTATTCTTTCCCTTTTCAAAATTGTGCTTTTCGACTTTTTTAAAATAATCGATTGGGCTGCAATTTTTAAATTGCGGATCTATAAATTCTCACTGTCGCCAGTCTCCCCTTCCTTAATCTAAAGAACGGAGTTACATAGATGAAAATCAAAACCAGATTTGGAAGCTTGGGGACCGGAGACCTCGATATACGAACTTCCGCTCTAGACCGGAAAATTTTTAAAAGTTAAAATATGTTTAAAAATTGCATTGTGACAAAGTCACAATATGTAGGGGAGATCGGGGCAAGATCGGCATGTTAAGCTTTACTTAAATTTTGTGTAATAAATACTGCTGTAAACTGAAAAAAAAGCTTTGCATATTGTCTATTGGAATGTTACCTTACTATAGATCTGGTTAAAATCAGTTTGGAAATAAAAATAATTAAAATAATTACAACTTTACAAGAAGAGAGAAATTGACGAAGTTGCCCCGGGTATAGGGGCAAGATCGGCAACTTCTCTCTTTTTGTAAAGTTGTAATTATTTTAATTATTTTTATTAAAGTTGCCCCTGGTATAGGGGCAACAGTAATGGGGCAAGATAGGCACGTATATAAAATTATGTTATTAACAATGTATAAGTTGGAATTCACTATTAAAACAAAGAAATACAAATCCAACACCCATTTAATATTATTACAACGAAATGCAAGTTCAAAGACATATATACATGAATAACAAATGCAAACATGTTTTCATTTATCATCTGTTTGATTTTTATCCTTTGCTTCTAATGTGGCTTTATGTTGCCGATCTTACCCCGCTAGTCATGATTTCGAAACATTAAGTACAACCCTGAGAACAGAATGCCAAGCCACGATCTGGCCACGTGAATAAGTTGAAGTTACATCCTTCTAACAGGAAAAGTAACTTTCGTTATCATGCAATTATAACAAAACCTGCCAATTCAATATAAATGGAAAAAAAATATTATATGGAATTGAACGAAAATGAAAATTTGCTTGATAATTCAACTACGCTTGTTGGAGAACAATAAAAACACTACACTCAACAAGCCACCAATAAAACTCAACTGCCTAACCTATAACCAAAGTCTCCTTTTAATTTGTTTTTTAAAAAAAGCGCTTGACAAACTTGCCCCGCATGCCGAAGTTGCCCCGATCTCCCCTAATTTTGATTTTTTTTGTTGTTATTTCGAATTAATGTAATTATATCGTATCACCTTAGTCACCTTCGATAGCTCAACAATTACCAAAAGCAAAATTATAAAACAATTAATTTAACAATTTTTTACCCTCCCGACATTATTTGAACGAAGTTTTGCTCCTAAACAGTCATCTAAATGACAGTACAACTTGACTACATTTTAAATTATGACAGAAGAAATCAACAAATGAGATATAATATTAAATAAACTTATATATTCTTACAGTATATTAATATAAGGTCTAATCATAGTTTATGATTTAAATTAGAACACATTTTTACGGAAGGCAATGATAATGCTGATTTTAATCGCGTTTGTTAAGTTACAGCGGAATCCGTAAAACCAAAAGATGACGTGTTCTCTTTATGAATGGGTTAATCTCATTCTAAATATTTTCGTTTGGGTTTTTCTAAACAACTTCGAGTAATAACGTGTGTACTATAACAACGACAGCGTTAGTATAAGCCTATTTACAAACAAGATTATATATAAACTAGACGGAACAAGAATAAATATAGGCCTACAGATGAAAAGAGAATAGAGGCTTATATTAAAGGACTGTACTAAACTTACTGATGGAACAAGAATAAAGACTTGCACTAAAGAATGAAAATCTGAAAATAAATATTGAGGAATATCGAATAATGTAAATGGGTGTGTACAGCGTATACATTTATATAAGTGCAATGTAAGTCTATTTACAAATAAGACTATGACTATGATTACATACACACGCACACACACATACATACATACATATAGATATATAAATGTAGATTTATTATTAGAATTGGCTCCTAAACAAAAGTATTACCCATAATATTAAAAAAATCCAACAACACTATTTTTGACACGAAATTTCAGCCAAAATTATTAATATAAACTATTTTTAGAAATAACTCGGCAATGAATTACACCGATGCTTTATTTACTTTTATTTTTATGGATCGAAATTAAGCACGTGCATTAAATTTTGTTTTTAAATGTTTTGTGTATTTTTTATGAGGAGAAACGATCAGATGCTCGACATATTCTCTTCAATTTCCGAGGGAGAGTACAAATTAATTCGACGGCTATGACATCACAGGAAGGAAGATGTCAAAGGACAAGAGATCGGTGACACGTGACTAAACCGGATCTGTAAATATCGAGTTAGATGCTGGCTATTCACCGTCTTTCTCCGAATTTCGTTTCGAAGGTTTTAAAATAAAGGAGATCCTTTCGTCACCACAACATTAATAACAACTCTTCGCTCGTCATGTGGACGTTCCTGTTTCTCCACTTGTTTTGCACAGTTTCTGCCGCTCCCCTTTCGCAACACGCACCCAAAGAAATGGTAAGTTTATTATCTCGTTATGTAACAAATTACGTATTAATCATTATATAACAAACTCAAAATAGAGACTTCGGTTTAGAGACCAATTAAGATCGCTATGTGTAATGCTTTCTGAATTGTCAGTTATTTTACAAAGAAAGAATTTAATTCAATTTTAATGTTCTTCATAATTTCATATATAAATGTAAACCCAAAGTTTTGTATTCGAAGAACCATGTACTAAGTTCCATTGTGACAAAATTCTCAGAACTTACTTAACTCGTCTAAACAGACATCAAGTGGTTGACCAGACAAAGAGTAATTACTTCATCCTTGTTTCTGAAACAGTTCTTTGTATTAATAAATTGTTAATTGAGCTTCAAATTATTTTATATTCCTTGATGTTTTCCAATGTTTAGAATAGATCTACATTCTTGTTTCATCTAATTTATCGTGTTTTCAAACAATCGAGTGCAAAAGGTACATTTTTTGCAGGTAAATTTTATGAAACAATATGGCTACCTCATCGACGCTGGACCCGATACCGATGCTCTGTACACCGAAGAAAGTTTCAAAAAAGCCATTCGTCAGATGCAGAAGTACGGTGGTCTGCCCGAAACTGGTATAGCCGACGATAAAACTTTAGCACTCCTCAACGCACCCCGTTGTGGGGTACGCGACGTATTCAGGGAAGACAAACACACTTCCAACAGAACCAAACGCTACGTAATAGGTGCGGAAGGGTGGAAAACTAAAACTGTCACTTACTTGTGAGTTACAATTGTAATTATACAAGCTGACCAAAACTCAGTTAACCGTGTTTTGTTTCGCGTTCTCCAAATACATTTGTAAATGCGAATCCTAAAGTGAACTTTTAAAGCATTTAGAAGATTCCCATTTTGAATTAGATGGCAATTTAGGTTAACTGACTTTTGTGCCACTATTTACACGTTACCTTTTAAAAAAATTTTAAATTAAAATTCTTTATGAAAGTCTAGCCAATTGGCCGGCAGATTTAGGACCGGATGTAGCAAAGGAGAAGATTGAAAAGTCTTTCAAGGTATGGTCGAGCATTACTCCGCTTCGTTTCGTGCATAAGAACAGCATGAACGCTGACATCATCATAGCTTTCGGAAGAGGTTCTCACGGAGATGGATACCCCTTCGATGGCCCGGGAAACATTCTAGCACACGCTTTCTTCCCTTACGAACATGGACCGTACGGAGGCGACGTTCATTTTGACGACGATGAAATCTGGATCGACGGATCCAAAGGAGAAAAGGATAACGATGGATTACGTAAGAAGCTTTTCGTCTTGGAATAACGTAATTACAACAATTAACAAATTTATCATTTTCTTACAGGCTACGACTTTTATACGGTCGCCGTACACGAATTAGGGCACAGCTTAGGTTTGGCACACTCCACCGTTTCTGGATCCATTATGTTCCCTTACTACAAGGGATACAATCCAAATTTTATGCTGGATTACGACGACGTTCTAGCTATGTACCAAATGTACAGTAAGTCATAAACAGCAAAGTTTACAACGAAATTGTAAAGAAAAATGCTAATTTTAAATAATTTTTCAGTCGTTAACGGGAAGTTCGAAGATACATTAAAAACAGACACGTTTGAAACTGAAACTACGATAGAATTATCTACGGTTACTACTGCCGCTACTACAGAATCGCCAGTCACTTCTCCAACGTTCACCGCAGAATCGTCTGTATCAAGCAACGATATTCCCATCTTTACCACTTCAAAATATTCGAGTACAACGGAGGATTACGAAGCGCAAGATGACCATTCGGCAACATATTTTCCGCAAAGTACTTCACCGAGCGTAAGTACGGAAGAACCATTGACAGATGACGACGAAACGGAAGAAGAAAAGAAGAGGAAAGAAAAAGAGAAAGACAGAAATCGTACCAATCGTACAAAGTCTGTGAACGGATGCGAAGGATCGTTTGACGCCATAACCCTAATTAGAAACGAATTATTTATTTTTAAAGGTCCAGTAAGTAAAATCTTCATTTGCCGGCAATTAAAATTATCTCGAAGCGTTTATATATTGTTATTTGCAGTACATGTGGAGGTTACAGGATCGTGGTGTAGTACCTCGAGGACTTCCCGTACCATTTCATTTTCTGTTTTACTTTCCTCTGTCTATCAAGAGAATTGATGCAGTGTACGAAAGGCCAACAGATCACTATATTATTTTCTTCACGGGTAAGTCTTATAAATAGTAATCACTAGCAATTTGTCGGGACAACTATTTATCTGAATATTGTGTCCTCAGGCAAATACTTTTGGGAGTTCACCGGAAACAAGTTCACAGAAAAGAGTCCACTAGCACTTTGGCAGCTAGGATTGCCGGAAGATATAGATTACATCGATGCTGCTTTGGTTTGGGGTAAGAACGGTAGGACCTATCTGTTTAGTGGAAACCAATATTGGCGTTACGACGAAGCGAACAAAACCATGGATTTCGGTTATCCTCGTCCCATTCACAGGTGGCGAGGCGTGCCGAGTAACTTGGATTGCGCCTTCACTTGGAGAGACGGTAATTAAACACATTCAAATATATGGTGGCCCAATTAACTCGGTTAAATGACATTTGAGCTACCCTGTATATTAAATTTTTAAAATAGTTCTAGTAAAATTTTATATTTTTTTGTTAGGTCAATCCTATTTTTTTAAAGGAAAAGATTACTGGAGATTTAATAATAACGATATCATAGTAGATTCTAAATTTCCTCAACCATCGGCCTCACATTGGTTACAATGCCAAACTTCTGTCTGAATTCTGAATTAAATCGCCAAGAAATATGAAAAGCGATGCGGACATTTGAACTCTAGGTCAACGTTTATTAAAGCCGGTGCCCTGGTTAAGACAAATCCGATATCCAGCAATTTGTTTAAAGTTTAAATAAATTAATTATTGTGTATCGAAGAATCTTGAGCTATACTCTTGGAAGCTTGTTGCATGTTGTGAAAGCTTAATTGAAACTGAATTGAATATGGAATTTAACACCGTTCAATTACTAATGACATTCGTATACTCTAAATTGCTGGAATGCTATCCATAATACGATGACTTTCTCATTGTTATTTGCATTTTTAGCGGTCTAAATTCAATATGTATCAAATTTTAATTATCTATGTACTTTTCAATAAATTTCTGAATGAAATATAATGTGCATTACGTAATAAATGTAATTCATTTGATAATTTAATTTCTACTCCCTCTGCACATTTTAATAAATCTTATGTAATTCGTACTCGAATGCAGCTTTAGCACTTAATTTAATTGCGTGGGTTGCATTTATTTCTTTTAAATGAATAAGTTAAATAAGTTAATGAGATTCTTCGAGTAAAATAGTATTATAAAACTGAACGAAAAATTAAAATTTCTAAAGCTAAATTCGTACAATTCTGATTACTTTTATTGCTAAAATACAGGAAATTTCGAATATATTAAATGTTTAATATTAAAACTAAAATAATGAATTAGAGGCAGTTCACTTTGTATAAAACAGTACATGCTATACAAGGTTAATTATACAGTAGGCCTATACCTATTATTAAACCTTATATAGTATAATGCAAAGAATTATAGACCTAAATCATACAGTACAGGGGGGCCCGAGAAGGGTAACTCAAAATGCATTTTTACAGCCTTCTAAGAAAGATAAATAATAAAAAATTCTCCTACAAATGTCTATTTAGTGCGGATGTCCTTATAAATTTATATGTTTAATATTCCAAAGGACCGCTCAGTTTAAAATTTATATTTAAATATACCTAAATCCATTTTATAATTGAACATTTGCGCATTTAAAGGATGCCCTAGTGTTCTACAAACTTTATTGTAGCTTCGTTACATAGACAAAATCTACGAATAAGAAGCGAAATAACGTTTCATAAAAGCAGAAACTTTCAGATGTTGAGAGAAGTCCTGGCCTCTCACACTCCAATATGTTTAAGTAACAGAATATGACAAAAATAAATGGCATTTTTATACAAGAAATGTAATGGAATGAGTAATTTGTAACAGATGATTTTTTGGGGCCCTGAAATGTGAGATTCGAACCAAATGGCTCCCCTTTGTGAGGACCTATATAAAAGTAAACTCAAATGAATAGTTACAAATAGTTTAATTATAATAAAAGTTTGAAAATATATCGACAACCTTGAATAATTAGACTATAAACATAATTCTGTTTTTAAGGAAGATTAAACTCATTTTAATCATTGTTGATTATTTTAAAAATTAAATAAATCCAGATATTTTATTAAAAAATAAATTTAATACATCATAAAAATTATAAAAAATATAAATAAAATTACAATTATTAATTTTAAAGTTACTTTCTAAGTATAGTAACAGATATCGATACATCGGTGTATTTGTTAAACAGAAGTGATGTTGTTTATTTATTTACATCAATAAAAAAAAGTATTTTTTACATTCAAACTTGGAAACATACGATGGACTCCACAAAAGGATAGGGCGGACTCCATTCATATACACAGTAAGACAGTAATAAGGAGGTCCTCCTCCCCACTTCCTGATTGAGAAAACGTCTCTTGGCCTTGAAACCATCTTAATAACGTGACGATTTACTACGTTTACGACCGTACAAACAGCCAGTGTGACTTTATATATATATATATAATACCATAAATATAACCAGAAGAAATAATACAAAATATTATTAGTATTGTATAAAGTAGTAAATTACGAAATATATAACAATTGAATCGACTTCGAAAGGACCTTGGCCCAAAATCCGGATTTCGACACTCGAAAGATCACATCACAATTCTATTCGAAGTATTCGTCGTACGTAAAATAGTTAAAGTGAGTAACAGGGGGAACAATTCCTTTCAAGAAATTTCGTCGTCAGAAAAGTGAGCATGCCCGATTTCGTTAGAGTAACATCTTCCACTCGAACGAATGAGTCACGCGTTAAAAATAACAAGTGGAGAGACTGCTGTAGACGGTTCATCCACAGAAAACTCCAGATAATCCACTAACATCACCCTCGTTAACACTTCTTTCTCCACAAGTTATTGATGAAGGAACGGAGCGTCTTCGTAACCAAGTAAGTACATAAATTCCAATTGTCACTCGTCTACTAGCGTTTCTCAAGGTTTTAATTACATTAAGAACGTAAATTACTCCTGTACAGTGTTCGAGTGATTAAGATTTTATATTCATTTTTACCAAGTACGGCGTATTTAAACTTGTTACGGCTATTTGAGGTTCTTCTCCCATCACTATGGAAGAAGATTTTCATAAAATATTAATAAATTTCATGCGTGAGGCCTTTAACACGGCACTAGGCCCAAGCTGTAGTAGCTTGTATGGGTTATTTGTAAATCCAGCCTTGTTACTAAGATCACGCTATAATTCCGCGTGTTTATCTAGGGGCATTTATTAAAGGCCCTCCAGTAGGAACAATAGGAGTTAGGTTTTTTAAGTCTCGGTACTTGTTAGAAAGTTACATTTTAGAAAAAGTAATACCGATCGCGTGACTGGATCTATATATAGTTTCCTTTATTTTTATCATTTTACATTCTTTTCTTTGAACTCTCATACTAAAATAACAAACATACGTGAGGGGACGTATATAACTTTTAAGTTATATTAAAATAGAGCGACGGATAAGGAGAGTAATTTACTTTAGTGACGATTTTAACAATTTCCTACAGTCGGAGAAAGAAAAAAGTGCTACGAATATCGAAACACTTACCGTCAAGTAAACGGATATTTTAATGTTTTGACTAGAAAGAAAACTGCATTTATCTCGGTTCCCAGATAAAACTAAATGACGAATTGTACTTTCGCCCTCCTTCTTTCTTGTTCTCACGTGACTCTTTCTGAGACTCTTTATTGGATAAAAGGGGGGAAATGTTCAAACTCTTTCACGCCAGCGTCAGACGATAGTGGAATATCATGTCGAGCGAAACAAGTGTCTCCCTTGTTTACGTAATATAAAAATAACTTCATTTCGATGTCTCTTTTTTTTTCATAAATAAAGAAAAATATGGCTGGAGATGGCGACGATTCGTCCCCCAATGAGGTTTGTTTACATTGTCATCGTTTACCTTTAATTAATTCGTGTTAGTAATTAATTTTAATTCTAGTAATTAACTAATGTGATAATTACGGGTTAATCGAAATTTATGCAAGTGTTTTAGATCTGTATAGATAGCCCAAAAGTCAGTTAACCACGTTGTACTTGTGAATATGAATCATACTGGTAAAATAAGTTATGAACAAGGTGTTTTTTCTATCGATTGTACCGTTTTGGCACGTTCAGATAGTACGACTGGATACAAAATAAATAAAAATTTAGTCGGGCCACTGTAGGCCTATATAGTAAAAATTGGCTTCTTGTGAGTTACAGTTGAAAAGTTGATTATTCTTGAAAGGAGAGTCACGTATGAAGTCTATTCTAGATAACTTTTTTTGAGTCTGGCCGGGAGTTTATCGATGTCTGCTCTTTTTTTGTCCTTCTGTTTTTTCAACCCGTCGCATACTTTGCCACTAATATTCTCCCCCTTTCTTCTTTTTCGTACGCAGCTTTTCTCATAAGTTTTTTTTTTTTTGTTGCAGATGTCAGATTTATCTCTGGAAGAGCATCGATTCTTACCTTCGAATGGAAGTATTTCGTCGGTAGTTGAGAATTTTAATAAAAAATCACTAATGAATAAATTGAATAGCGCATCATCTATTACCTCGTCATCAGCTTACACGTCGAGTTCCGAAAAGTCTCAAATTATGAAGAGTAGCAGCTCGTCCAGTAGTTCTGTGTTGAGTAAAAAGGCTCAAATTGTTCAAGAACAGAATGAATCCTTTCACGAGAACCGCAACTATTCCAGAAGTGTCAGCGTTACCAGTAGTAGCAGTAGCAGTACTAGCGATTCTAGAATGAAGATGCTAACTCAAAGAGGCTTTTCCGTTGACGATTCGTTGGAAGAACAGCCCCAAGAAGTGAAATTCGAACAGAAACGCGTAACGTCAGCTGCTAAAGTGAAGGTAACGGGTGATAACTATACGTCGGAAAAGATGGCGGCTACTAATAAAGAACTGAAGCGTGTTCAAGCGGGTGATGTTAGTTACGAAGAAAAACACGCTGCTGCAGCAATAAAAGAAGTGTTAGATATGGATGGTATCAGTGCGGAAAAAATGGCCGCCGTTAGACAAGATCAGAAACAATTGAAGACGGGGGATATCGTACAACAACAACAAAGAACTGCCATGGCCTCTGCGGTTAGAATGTCAACCGACGATTTCAGTGCAGAGAAGTTATCGATGGCCAAACAGGACGTCTTTACAGAAAGAAATCTGTCTTCGAAGTTTATAATTACTTCTAAAGAAATGAGACAATCGTCCATGTCTAGTCAGAGTGATTTCTCTGGTATCTCTTCTCTGAATTATAATATGGGAAGTCAAGAAACGTTCGCTTTACCCACAAACAGCAAACTCGCCATCGAAGGAGTAGAAGAAGATTTTCAAATTTTAAAGAGTCCGACTTCGGTCATGGAAGTTCAAAACGTCATGAAACGATTCAATAATAGGATGTATTCTTGTATCGATCGATTGAAAAACGCCACGAACGAGGAGGCCACCTCTCTCATAACTGCCATTTACGACATAGTGAAGAGAGCTTGGGCTATACCGAATCACGGAAACGATTTGGGTTCCAACATGTGCAACATATTAAGAAACACCGGAGGTTTGGATATTCTAATTAATAACTGCACTTCCGATAACTCGGATTTGAAATTTTCTAGTACGCAATTACTAGAACAATGCTTTTCTACAGAAAACAGAGCTTACATTGTAGAAAACGGATTAGAACAGGTAGTTAATGCGGCCTGCGCCTGCAGCACAGAGAATTCCGTGGCACAGTCTCGCGTGGGTACAGGTATATTGGAACACTTATTTAAACATTCGGAAGCAACGTGCAGTGACGTGATAAGAATGGGAGGATTGAAAGCCATTCTTTTCGATTGTCGTACATCCGACATAGAAACGTTGAGGCATTGTGCCACGGCATTAGCCAATTTGTCGCTATACGGTGGACCGGAAAATCAACAAGCAATGATCAAACATAAAGTTCCTGTCTGGTTATTTCCTTTAGCTTTTCACCAAGACGACAATATCAAGTATTACGCGTGTCTAGCTATTGCCGTTTTGGTGGCCAACAAAGAAATCGAAGCGGCAGTTCTCAGATCGGGAACTTTGGATCTGGTCGAACCATTTGTAATAAGTCACAGCCCTCAAGAATTCTCAAAGAGTGCGGTTGCCCACATTCTAGGACAATCAAAAAATTGGTTGCTTCGACTGGTACCGGTGCTCAACAGCAAGCGAGAGGAAGCTAGAAGTTTGGCGGCATTCCATTTTGCCATGGAAGCTGGCATTAAGAAGAAACAAGGAAATACTGGTGTAAGTATGCCACCTTCTGAACAATTTGACACACAAATATGTGATATAAACTAATAAATTTGAATAAAAACCGCAGCAACATTAAGCAACGGCACATTTATAGAATTAAAATGCAAGGAAACAAACTTTTTTCCAGGTTTTTCACGAAATAGGTGCAATCGAAGCATTGAAAAAAGTGGCCAGCTCTCCCAACGCCATTGCCTCTAAATTTGCGGCGCAGGCATTGCAGTTAATAGGAGAAGAAGTACCTCATAAACTTTCCCAACAGGTACCTCTATGGACAGTAGAAGACGTGAGAGAATGGGTGAAACAGGTAATTTATATAATAATGAAACTGGACCGAAATAAATAAACCAATTCATTAACAACTGAAGTTTGCTTACAGATAGGATTCTCTCCCTATTGTCAAACGTTCAGCACCAGTAGAGTAGACGGAGATTTACTTTTACAATTAACAGAATCTATGCTAAGAGACGACATAGGAATAACTAACGGGATTTTAAGAAGAAGGTACTTTAACTTTTTTTAATACGGGACCTTCTAACTCAGATGTTTGTAATACTAAAGAAAAAAAAAATAGTTCCGTAATGAAACAGCTCATTGAAAGTTTTTTAACTTCATTTTTCTAAACAAACGTCGAACGTGTTTTTTAGATGCCAAAGAAAAACATCTTCAAAGTAGGACGACCGTCTGGAGGTCGTTCTCAGTTAAGAATAAAGTTACATCCGTAGTTCATTAATAACGAGGACGCACTTCTCTCGCACGAAATTAATTTTTCTCTTAGTGTATATTTCTAACGACCTCGAGCATTAATGAGATGAATATGATTTATTCTAGAATTTTATAGATAAAGTTTATAAAAAAATATTTAACGTTTTGGCAAAGCACGTGGAAAGGAATATTCGCGAAGAACGTCAATGACCCGTATCCTCAAAGCGCGAGCCAAAAATTACTCAAATTTTTTTGTAATTTTCAGGTTCCTTCGCGAACTCAATCGTCTAAAACAAATGGCAGATTACACTTCTTGCGACACAACAAATCTGAATCAACTTTTACAAGGTTTCGGACAGGAATTTTCACAATACACCTATCAAATGCTGCACTGTGGAGTACAGAAAGACACTCTTCGCTATTTGACAGAAGAACAACTAGCTCTGGATTGTGGCGTGGAAAACAGCATACACAGATTGAGAATCGGGCACGCTATTAAAGGTGAGAACATTACAAAAGCGTAGCGTAATAATCTATTAGTGGTATCTTAGATTGTGTTTTTCTGTGGGTGGTCATGAAAATAGTATCAAGAATGTCAGACTGCTTCTTTGCCAAAGTTAATTGTACATATTCTACAGTGACTGTTTTGTTTATCTACACTTTGTTAGAATTAATCAGTATCAATATTAATAGACTGTGTTGGAGAGATCATCCAGCACAGAGACTCAAAAGGTTAGGATCGACCGAAGTTGAGGCACACATATTGAAATATTCAATCCCCACCACCAGAAGATCACGAGTGTATTATTTATAACTCTATTTAATATTGTAAACAATGTGAGTAATTGTTACTAATTTCAGATTTAGCTCGAATGACAGAAATCGAGGAGACAGAAACTGATAATAAGTGTCTAGACGTGTTTGTTAGTTACAGAAGATCCAACGGTTCTCAATTAGCCAGGTAGCAGGACGTGACGAATTTAATATGTGAGTGTTACTAAGAACTTCTGTCATATATATATATATATTTCTTTTTTTGATAGTCTTTTAAAGGTACATCTGCAATTGCGGGGATTTTCAGTATTTTTGGATGTTGAACGTTTAGAAGCCGGGAAATTCGATAACAATCTCTTAAACAGTATTCGCCAAGCAAAACATTTTATTCTGGTGCTGACTCCCAGCGCGTTGGATCGCTGTTTAGGGGACAGGGAGTGCAAAGATTGGGTGCACAGAGTACGGTTTGGATTTATGTCCCTCTTTGTTTTATTATTCATTTAAAATTCTTACGTGTTGAAGTAGCGATGTTTTCATTCTACACAGGAAATCTTGGAAGCGCTCCAGAGTAAATGTAATATAATTCCAATTTTGGATAATTTCCAGTGGCCTGAATCAGAAACGTTACCAGATGACATCCGAGCAGTTTGTTATTTCAATGGCATCAGGTAAGGATTCTACTTTTTTATTTTATATCCTATATGATAAAACAAGGTTCGGATTTAATCTCATTATGGTCCTAAAACTGTAACACACACAGGGTTTCTTTCTCTCTAGTAAATAATAATTCGTATGATACTGAAATGTGTGTGTGAGTCCTAAAATATGTCATTGTAAGACGAGGCCCTAAAGTGTCCTCGCAGCATAATACCTAAGCTTTAACACAAAAATGGTTCTGCCGCGCAAAATAATAAATTTAAAGGCGTGAAGCCTCAAATATACTCGTATAGCGTGAAACCTATGCTATTAGTCTGTTTACCTTATACGTAAATCTGACCCAGAATAGAACAGAAACGTTAAGATGAATACACAGCATGGGAAAGAAAGTCACTTAACACTCCTGCTACGTATCATGTAACGTGCATAACTCTGTAACCGTTCGAGGTAGGTCAATAAAATCTTTCAGCAATCAATTCCTTGTGAAATTCTGACCCCAAATGACCCCCTTCCCATTTACAGTTTCGGAGTTACATTCAAGATGGCAGTCATGCGTGTAACACATCAATCTGTTTTTCCCTTGGTCTAATGTGTTCCTGACATGAGCGAATTGACTTTGAGTACATTCTACATTCTGTAGCAGGGATGTTAAGTGACTTTGCATAAATCAATATGTAGCATAATTTTTATAAAATTGTTATAACATTTTCAGATGGATTCACGATTATCAGGATGCCTGCGTGGATAAATTAGAACGTTTCATGAGAGGGGATACTAATTATAGGATGGACGGACTGGTAGGGAGAAACTTAGGAGTGGGACCCGGAACACCCGGTACACCTAGTACAAATATATCGCGCGTGCCAATTTATAACAGGAGCAGCAGTAGCGATAGCGGCGAAAGGGAAGCGCAGAGTTGCTCGGATTGTTCTCATTAACAACAATGTAAAACATATCCGAGGTGAAAGTTTTTAAAGTAATTGTTTAATATAAACGTTATTCGAATTGTTAAATATAAAGATGTAAATCTCCGAGCAGGATGCAGGATTTTTATTTTATTGTAAATAACAATTGTTATTGATACTTATGCGTCTTTTTTGTAGGATAATTTTGTAAATAAATTATTAAACGATTTGTTTCTTAAATGGAGAATTGTGAAATAAAGTTCATATATAACTATCTTCATTCTGTGTTATATGTATTTATACGTTTCGAGTATAATTTCAATCACTTACACTTACAATAATCTTAGCAAAATTGTGGATTTTAAAACATTTAAATAGCATTTACAAGTTCTAATTATACTGTACTTAAGTATTGTTGAAGACCTTGAAGATTTTCTCTTTTCTGATTATAAATGAAAAGCAAGTTCTGCATTTTCAATCAATCTCTGCATTGATTCAATGCAGAGATTGATTGATTGGTGTATATGATAGAATTAGCTATATTTTGCCGGGAAGATATATATATTGTGAGCTAACAAAAAAGTTCGTTATCATGGAATTTAAAATTCTTTATTCAAGAAAATCGTCGCTCGAAATGACAGAACTGTTTAAATATTCTGCAAATCGTGGTCAAGATTTATACAGGAACGTACTGTATTTGGCATAATGTTGAGGGATAGAGAACATTTCCCTTAATCGTAAACAAATCATCTTCACTGATAATTTTTAGTCTTATTTATTTTTATTCAGATGATTTTTCTAATATACCAATAAAACTGAAACGAAGAGGATAGGGTAAAGCAAATACATTTTTCAACTCTTCTCTTAAATCAAAAAGAAAAGCATTACAAAACGAGCAAAAATTATTGTGACATCTTCACAATGCCGGGCTGCAATTTTTAATCATGTTTTAAATTTATTTATTTAATTTAAAAATATACCATCTCGATTTTAAATTAGTAGTGACTTTCCCCTGTACATCATACTTTTCCTGTTACAATAGAGTCATGCCGGTCATCCATGTAACGTCATTCCGGAGAATATTTTTGAATTGAAATCACGTGACTTCCGGTCTGGACGGGATTTGTCCCTAAGCTTTCCATATCTGGTCTCGACTTTCATCTATTTAATTTCTTTTTCAAGTTTAAGGAAGAACAGACAACGGGGACATTGAGAATTTATAGGTCTAGAATTTTTTTAAAATTGCAGCCCAATAACTACCTTCTCAAAATGTTGAAACAAATAATGTAAATAACGGATTACAAAACCCATAGATTAATGGCTGCACATTAATTAATGGATTTAAGTCCGTCAGTAGTAAAACATGGACAGGAATAATGAAACTATGGAAATTAGAACATCGAGGTTTGTCGTAGGATATCTGAAATTGGATAAGAAAAATAACGAAATACGAGAAGAAACAAACTAACTGTTGAAGAAATTGCAGAATTCAGAAACAGACGGATATGGCACGTGAAGAGATGAGGATCCAGAATCGTCGGACAGACTACAGACCAGTATAATGCAGGTGTAAGATAACTTTTAAGGACGATGCGGATGGTTCTCTGCCTAATTCATTAAGGCAAGAAGAATAAGTACTGTACTTCGTGTACGTCACATAGTCGAGGTATTCAAATGATTCACGACTGATTCAATTTTTCTCAAAAAATTATCCACTTTATTAAATTGGATCATTATAAAATTTCAAATTAAAGTCACCCGAGTGACAGTAAAACAGATTCGATTCTGATCCATATTTTCGTGTTGTTCGCAGTTGAGAATGGAATATCGTTCACTCGGTGAAGTCCGAACTAAACACAATTGAGACCGGTTGTAAAATCCACAGGTGTTGACAGGTACGGTACTTTAACAACTCAATTAATCAAATTATATCATAATTGAAACATCTTTAAATATGCAGAATTAAAAAAATAGACTTTTTAATAATACCGTATATACAAATATAAAGAAACTGTTTATTGCCATAACGCTTAATTAATTTATTTATTTATCTGATTTACAGTATGAAATGTCTATAACAATGGATCTCCTCCGCACATTAACAATAAAACCCCGTAAAATACGAGTGTAGACTATGATTTTCTTGAGAAATATGGCAAAAACATTTCTGTACGCTTACTATTAGAATTATCAAAATTCCCATTTTTAAGTAGAATGTCCCGAATTTTTTCGAACTCTAATTATTCTTTTCAAATTTCATTTACCGATAAACTTACTTATTTTTATTTTAAAATAAATTATTATTGATTGAATTTTAAATATTTATTTAAAATTCAAACAATATACGTTATATTAATTTTAGGTATTACGTAATGAAGAGCAAGTTACGAAAACTGCAGAGAAACCTTCACCAGCTAAATTATCCATTTTTCCAACGTTTTTGGCTGTTCTAGCAGCCATCGTTTGCAATTAGGATACAAACAAGTATTCGTTTGTATCCTGATTGGAAAGCAGTTGAAAGATATACTGCACAGTAGAAAAAGGAATTAAATGTTCCTTATTGAAAATAGAAAATGATTATTTAGATAAAATATATCATTTGTTAACTCGTTCCTGACATAGAAAATGCTTAAAAACTATTATACAGATCCTCTCGAAATGATAAACGGTAATTAAAAACCTTCATCGACAATATTTTTCTATTGAAATGCCGAAAAAACAAATATAATTTACATCCTGTTATCGTTACGTAGAAAAATATCAAATTGTTTACATTTCATCAAATAACGTAAAGTTTATATTTAAATGATTTGATTTAAAGAAGCTGAAATTGTATTCGTAGAGTTTACTAAACGATTTATTTATTTTATTATTGAACCATCGCGATCTTTCCTTTATAATGACGATGATAATTTCGTTAAATAGGATACAGTATTTCTAGTCATTATCGCGGAGAAAGAACGCTTTTTAAAGCAGAATCGCGCCAAGATGAACTGGTAATGCTGGTCATGTTGCATATTCGTGAAAGAAATGCAATGAAATTGTGTTTAAAATTTCACCAACCAGATTATTGGGACAAGACTACACTCGATTTCGGATCCTGTCATACAGGCCAAAAAGAGCTATTTGGATCGGGCCTTACAATTAAGGGACCCTCAACCATTCGTTCATTTGTATTTCTCGCGTATTAGTAGAGTGGATAAAACTACTGCGGGTTCGTTGCTCGACCAACGGGCTGGCCACGCGGAGTTTTCAGAGTTTTCTTCACGTTTGTAACATGTAAATAGGGACCAGTTTCCCCCTATGTCCTCTCGGGAAGCATCTTCCCCTGGTTGCCATAAACACGTAAACCAATCTTGTATTATATATTAAAATAAAAGATCGTAGTACTCAAGTTTTGGTTAACGTATACCTAGGTAACTAAAATGGCGGCGCTTCCGACCGATTCCTCCCGGAGGGAAGCCACTGTGTGTTTAACGTCACTACTTATTGATTGGCGGTAGTTGTCGAAAATAAAAGAAAAAGGAAACATCTACTAAAATATAGTTAATTAATCTAACCTAACCGAAAAGCCGCCATTTTAGTTACCTAGGTATACATCGACCCAAATTTCAAACGTCTTTTCCTCCTTTTTAATACATGTATAATGGAATCTCTCGATCTCCGAGGTCCTGTATGCATATGTAATTTCAGGCAATTCTATACAAATTACGTAATAACTACAATACATATAATAGCGATTCCTGTTATATTCACATCATATAATTAATTAATTAATTAGAAATAATAAAATTTGTCTTACTTTCTTAAATTCTCAGAAAGCGAAGCAACTCATTTCTGCATAAAACGCCACTTCTTAAACGTTTATTGTTAATAGAGAACACAACTTCGATTTAACTTAAACGCAAAGATTACTCTTTCTCGCTCAAACAAAATGGCGCATCGGTGCAAGTTCGTCTGCTTTTTCACTTCCGGTTTGATTTTTAACAGTCGTCGTCAGCCTGACAAATATTTTTAATGATATTTTATATTATTAATGCGTGTTAAAATATAAAAAATAAAATATCCAGAATTAATTTATATCTCGTGCAATAGCCATGTGATATATTTTCTATTCTGTCCATTCAATTTACCATTTTTTTTGTTTTTTCTTCTTTCTGCTCTGTGGGCCTTAAGAGGGCCTTTTTCCATACTCACCGTGGGTTCGATTAGATCCACAATGGGCTGCTCACTTGGATTCCGGTTCCGTAGAGCGGTAGGCCGATGTCTTAGCTATATCAAAATTAACATTAGAATAGTCCGTCTATACGAGTTATAATTGTTCTCTTTAAACGTATCCATTGTAAATTTCGAGTTATACGATCTATGTATAACTCGATCGTGTATACAATGTATACAGTACAATGTACTTTATACATTGTACTGTACATGTATAAAGTACAGAGTATAATTAATATAAAACCCACCAGCGGCCGACTGGATAAAACCACTGAACGACGGTCGTGGGTTCGCGCCTCGCTAATGTGGAGTTTTATGGGTTTTCTTCAAGTTAGTAACACCTAAATAGGAATCAATTTAAGTAAACAATTTTAACTGTTTCTATCGGATAACTTATTTATTATCATTTCTAACTAGACTTCTATTCTTTTTACCTAATAAATATTCTTACACACGACGAATTCTGTACACTCATTACGAGGTCATTGTACTGTACATATTTATTAAGATAATTTGTCAGTCTTCTACCCCGTAAAAGAATGCCGAAGGAGAAACCAAAACTGTAGTTTAAAATCACGTAAATGTACTCGACAATATTGTATATCGGTAAAAGTGCCAAGTATCCCGCAACATTTTCAAAAGAACAATAGTCTTTTTTGAAGACCTTTGTTCTTTGTACTTCTACACTTAGCTAACACGAAGTCGACTAATTGTTTTTCATGTAAACACATATTTTTCAAATTGTTTTCCAGATATATCCTTTCATTGTTTGTTCATTTAGATTCAAATTCGATGGAGATATTTAGTCTCGAGCAGCACGAGAGCATGTTGAGGATCTCCCGATCTCAACACGTTCCTGTTCCTACCCTAAATTCGAGACATCAAGGTTACACCGTTTCGTCTACTTTATTCATCCGTCCGACCATATAATGTTCTTATCTCTTGCTGCCACGTTATGTTTAACACATGACGTCGAAGCATAAAACCATTTTATCCATTCTGCATGTATGTAAATATATAAAATTTTTCAAATGTATTTACAAACTTCAGATAGTATTTTTGTTTCTAAAACAGAAGAAATGAATCGCGATTTTAACGTTGAGCAAAAATATGATTTACGAATTATAAAAATGTACTGTACAGTGCCGAGCGAATAGTAAAGAAAAATTACCTTTAACTGGGGCGTATCCAAGCAATACATTTTATTAATTTAAAATAAAAACAAAGTCATGCCGCAACGAAAATAATTCTAAGATATAACATTGACCGAAAGAAGATAGGGAGAACGTCACTTTCAAAATCTTACATGCCACAATTTGACGATGATGTCTGAGTATTTAAAGATTTAATAAAGTAATTTTTGTAATTGTGTGAAAATCAGTGGCGAATTTCTCGTAAGGTCCGGACCTGTGATGCAAAAATTAAAATTCCTGTGTGAATTAAAAGCTTAGGTAGGGACAAAATAAGAGATCAGTTGAATAGTTTATTAATTTGAGTGCTGGTAGACAATGTTCCCTCTAATTTTTTTTGTAGATGAGCGCAACATATACTTCTCTGAGCAAAAAAAAATTTTGCTGAGCAGATTCTGAGCATATATATATATATATGTAAAATCTTATTTTTTCCTATAAAAATTAAAATAATTAATTATAAAGTAGAGATTAAAATTCATTTTAAAACATACTTTTATACGAAATATTAACTTTTGTCAATGATTTAATCTATTTAATCGAAATATACGCAGCAATAATCATGTTGCAGACAGAGTGAGAAATCAGTAAACAATAATTCAAATCGGTGCATATGCGCGGAACATAAATTCTCGTGCGCGGCCGCGCAGCTTAGAGGGAACATTGGTTGTAGATAGTAATGAAGGGTTTTCAATAGCAGTGCCTTTTCGATATTTAAAAATGTGTAATTTGTAAAATATTGCAGAATTATGAGTGCTTGCCATTTTTGCACTGTTATAATTCTGTTCGCATTGGAATCAGAGAAGATCGGAAAACCACGGGCGGTTTTTGGGGAGTGGTTAGTTTCGGAAATGTCGTGGTCCCGCTCCACCACCCGCTGCTCCGTTGTGGGAAAGAGGGCTAAAAGAAAACCTCTTAGTGCCCACAGGAGTAAAAAAATCTATATTATCAATGGAAGTCTTATTCCATTGATGATATGATTTTTTCCAATACGTTACTGACACATTTTAATCTACAGAAAACTTCATTATAAAATATTTACTTAAGGGTTAGAGTTTTTGATTCAAGAATCTGACAAGATAAATCTAATCTATATTAAGTCTATCATCAGTGGAATTTCTTTGTTTTGGGAATAATTTAATGACCCAATTAAGTATCTCATTTTTTGATTAATACCAAAAATTAACAACAGAAAACTAGTCGATAGAATCCAAACTGATATATATCAGAATAATATAAGAATATTAACAATCAGACAAATATCATTCAAAATACATTTAAAAAATCAAAGTAAATTAACAGATTTTAGAAATTATTAGAGAATAAATTACAATGTGTAATTTCTTTCATGTGGTTGCAGAACTTTATTATATTCCACATGGCTGAAAAATCACTTAACTTAATGTAGTCAGACCAAGTTAATTGCAGCAACCGAATATTTTCACCTATAAACAATTTAAACCTAAATATAGAATAATTACACTTTTAAATGAAAAAAGATGAGATTTTTAATAGGGAAATAAATATTTTAATACAAATTAATAATAATTATTACAGAAATTTGTTTAAAAAGCAATTTATTCTGCTAAAAGTTGCAACCCACTATAACATCACTTAAAACACAATATTCTCATTATACAACAGGTAAGGCAACATAAAACAATATTGCAGAAAAATATTCATTATATATATATATATATATATATT